ATACCCCATGTTTCGAAACTGTGATCTTATAACAAACACTCGAATGAGTTCTTTACTGTGATGTTCCACTGTTATTACCGATGATATACAACAAACTACAAATAAAACAATCATTAGCAATATGCCGAAGAAAGCATTTATTTAAAAATTCACCTTGCCGATGCCAAAGCTAACGTAAGTAAAAATATTACTACATCATGTGAATATATTATCAATTGAAGACTTTTCAATGTTTCTAAACGTCGAAAACAATGCAAAAACATTTTATAATCTAATTTTTACACTAGACTTTGATAGATCAGTAGCTCCCTTGCATGATTACTTTTTATGTTTTTGTGTTTTGTTTGTATAACTGCTTAGGGTTGGGGCACTGGAGTTAGCCTTCTTACAAACAGTGCCCACTCCAAAGAGGGATTCATTCTTCATCTATTTCCTATGCTCTACCTTTCTTTCATTTTTATTTTTATCCTCGCATTCATCCAGTCATTAGTTTTATCCAGTTATCCACTGAAGCATAAAAATCACGTCACTATGATTAAAACAAATGATTTTCAATAAAGATGTGAATAGTGTTTTGCCAAATATGTCAAGGTAATCGTGAATTGTCCAATTTGTAGTTGTTTCTAATGTATCAGCATAGCATAAACCATGTCACTGTACTGTTGGTCTTCTTGCTTTTATTTATATAGACATGAATGTAGATTTTTGAAATATCAACTAGAACAAGTCAACAATGAGGAATTTCTACTGAGAGCCTATTCAGGACTGTGATTTATCAGAAAAAGTGTTTTTTGGTAAATGATACGTATTGTGTTAAATCTTAAACTATGATATTTTTTTCACAGGCTCACTCCTGTGGATAATGTGCTGATATATTTTCCCTTCATTCATTCATTTATTCAATACCTTACGAACATTGATCCTTTTTTATTTACAATACTTATATAACATCGATTGATATTACTTTATAGAAATGATAACAAAATAAAACCAGGAAAACCAATTTACATATTTTACGATATGTAGCTATGCAAATATTTTCGTATAGAAAGTAATTTATGATTTAAATTTTACCAAGCGGCGTTATTTTTGTTATTTTTTTCAGTTCGTGATTAGAAACTTAATTGAATCTGTGTGTTCTGTAAGTGATAATAAAGAAGTCATTAGTCGTATATATGCATCGGCAAACATGTTTTACTTTTGTTTATAAAAAATTCTTAAATGTCGTAGCTAAATCCACTCATTGATTATATAATTTCCTCGAAGTACGGCATTTATCCTGATAGCATTTTCTTGCAATATCTCAATCATTAGCATACGTGAGCTATTTTATTTACGTTAAACAACTTAGGTCTGTTTTATATTAAGGTAATATTTTCAAATTAAACCAAAGTCCGTACTTTTTGTAAACATACTCTCATAAAAAGCACGTCTGTTAACATGACCATGAAAGACATCAATTCCATACGAAATTGTAATATAGTGTAATGACCCTACCTTACAATCTTTGAAGCATTACAGTTAAAGTTGTACATATTATTGTCGGTTTATCAATGTAGAAAGTTATGACAATCTTGTAAGTTTATTTGTAACGAATATCATTGCTATATGAATGAAGTTCTTTGGTTTGAATATTTTATTTCGTTAGGAATGAGTGTTTGATGTAGTTGAAATAAATATACTGTTGATTGGGTATTGTTTGTTTATCACAGTCTTGCTTGGAACAATGACACTGCTGAATACAATTTCGTCCAAACGTCACAGGGTCACAGACTGACAATGTTTAAATCTTTTCGTGAATGACAGTTCTGGTTACAGCCTTGTCCGAATTTCCCATAAATGCAAGCTTACGTATAATAAATGTACTTTTACTTCATAATAAAGGTACCATATGAGATATTTGATTATTCCACTTCTCAATATTAATAATACATGAAAAAGGCAATACTTATCAACAATCTCATAAATGGTCCATTACTTTAATTGAGCATGCTGGATGCATGTACAGTTGTTACGGCACGATTTCTCAATCCGACAAGATTCCTCTCCGGATGAGAAATCGTGCTAAAATTGTTACGTTCGCAACACGATTTTTGATTGCACAATGCACCAAAATTACCGTGCATACATCGATCATGCATTCATCGTGCGCCCATCGTCTGCACTTCGTTTGCATATTGTTCTATCGACTAGGTGATTAAACAGTACGTCCTGTTGTGCTATATACATAAATGTATGTGTGATATGGCCATGTGTGATTGTTTGATAGATGTTACGGAATGAAAACATGCGGGAGACTCGAATGAAATAAAAACAAAATCTTATACGTATTAAATATCCGATTGGTATATTTGGCCTTTTCTATTTTTCCAGCTGGTTATAGATTAGTACAATGACTGTAAAACTATCAGTAGTGGGGTTGTTCTGTCAGGTATAGCGATAGTATACATGCATAGTAAATTGCATGGAATTCACTGCCGATTAGAGTTCATACAATATTTGACAGGTATTAAAACACAACTTGACCTTTACCTGTGTAAATCCTGTATGTTACGCTTTGGGTGGAGTTCATGGATTAATAGTGAAAAATAATGTACGCGTTACCTGACAATATACAAGTAAATGATAACATGTCAGGGTACTTTGTTTACATTTAATATGCGTGTACAGTACGTTCACGTTTCTGCCCGTAACATACACACTTGTCGATTAAAGCTGACAGTGCAAATTAAAAAGATTTGTAATTGAGATTTTTATTTCAAAGTTTATTTTTTCTTGTTTTGAGATTTCCCCATCTCTTTCGACCATCGTTTTTAAAGAAGTACCAACATTCTAGTTTGTCCTTGCTTGATAACAAGTATGGGTCTCGCTGGGTATAATAAGCGTATTACCGTCAAACGGTTGCCATTTGTTCAATATACTATATATATTTATTATATAATACATGCTATTTCCGTGCAATATTGCCGTCCAATAAAAACGATATAGCACACGTACAATAAACATGCAAATGAGCCTTGTCACCGTGGAAATCAGGTCATATTCCTGCGAACTACAACTTCTGTACTTCATACACCGAACGCTAATGCCTACCTTTTATATATCCAACTACTTATAACCTCCTGTGTGAAAACTATACTAATTCCAATCATTTCCATGAGAACGGTTTAAAGACACATTTTTGATATCACACTTGGGAGTGTCTCATTTCGCACGTGTTTTGCTAGTAAAGCGTCAACACGACGAAGACCACGAGTTCATAATACAGTTTCGTGTGTTGATACAGTTCTATGCACGTGAAATGCCGATGATACATATGGGATTTTTAGAAGTATTTTCCGTAATATACCTTTTATTTTAGATACACAATTTTCAAGAATGTGCCATAAGTAACAACCAGCTTGGCAGTGTTTCACAGTCTTTAGTTGAGTGCGTTTGATTTTTGATATCGGTTGCCGATCAGGGTGCGTGCTGCATTGAATCGTAAGACGCTCAGTTGTAGAATGATAGCCGGTTTACAAGGTAATGCGCTTTTTATACCCAGCGAGACCCATACTCGTTAAAAAAACCAAGGACAAACTAAAATGTCGGCACTTCGTTAGAAACGATAGTCGGAACTGATGGGAAACATCTCACAACCAGAAATATTTTTCTTTAATTTCAATTGAAAGCTTTTCAACTTGCACTGTCAGCTGTAAGGTAGTTTCAAAGCACTTTTATTACGTGATTTGTTTACATGCATGTCTGTTAGATAAATAAATAATCACATAACTGAAATATGGCAAATTAGGAATTAGTTGGTTATCACATGTTATTCCTTAATAATACTAATCATAATACCTTTCAAACAACTATTTTATGCACGTAATTATCGCACAATTTTTCACCGAGCGCACCGTGCACAAACCAAACATCGTGTAACGTTTTGCGATCTGTACAACTATACATTTGTGGGAGATGCATACTCATTATATAGTAATGGAAGAACAATTAATAATATAACACACGTTGTGGGAGAGCACAGCGATACACTGTGTACGGTGGTCGCGCGATGTGTGCACGCTGTGTGCACGATGTCTGCTTGATGTGCGAATGATACAAATCTGGATGATACTTGCATGCGCGCATTTTTGCGGACGATGGACGAACGTTGTGCAATGACACTTTTGGTTGGTGTAAATTTAGAAATGGCTTAACAATATATACGGTTTCTTGTTTAAACATATACATTGTAACTTGAGTTCTTTAACCATGTGTCTATATTCTAGCTTTATATATATATAAACTGATCTTTCTATCTATATTCCTTAAATTAGGAAATGGCGTTTCTGTGTTTTTTAAACGACCCAAATTGATACATGTAAAATTATAACACATATAGACACGGTTCCATATACCGGTAAACATATCCCATTTGTGCATGAACCTAGATCATATTTTTCCTCACCTGGGGAACTTACGTAACTGGTCAAGGTGTGAAAATTCAGGTGAAGGGGAGCTTTAGACCAAACCGAATGCAAATAACAAATAGTTAATGTCCAGTTGGGTTTTATAACAGCCATACGGTATCCTATATCGGTTCTCCATGTCAGGCAGAGGCCGCCAGGTAAAACTCCGGTCACAACATCAAAATGATATTTGTAAAATTGAACATTATGTAAATTAGTACATTGTATAATGAAAACTTTACATATAGAGTGTTCTTTATTCCATACGAGCCTTCCGGATTCCGTAATATCGATTAACCAATTGTACCAAATCCCACCTTTTTGTGGAGAGAAGTGAACAACGAGGCGAACGATTGTTAAATCGCAAAGTGGTGCGCACCATGTGTGGGCGATATGCGGACGGTGTGCATGCGATGTATGCACGGTGTGCGCACGATATTTTTTTGTGCGTTGTGCGGTCACACAACTTTTATATTATAATGTTAATGACGAAAAACAAGTTTCTCTCTTCTTTTGTTTAAATATTTTCACATCTGTCACAATATTAGTTACCTTGGTTACAGGAATCGCCCTGCCAGCCAGCCAAACACCCTCCTGTACATCCTCCCGTTTGTTTATCACAGTCTTGCTTTGAACAATGACACTGCTGGGTGCAATTTTGTCCAAACGTCCCATGGTCGCATGCTGTCAATGTTCATATCTTTTCGTTACTATTGAGTTTATTGCCATCATGCTAACGTACAAAGTGAGGTAAATGCTCAGTATATATTTCATTTGATTTGTATTCAATATTCTTTGATAAACACTTCTCGGTGTGACAATACAAAATCTAATTTACAAATGTCAAAGAAACTTTGTAACATTAAAGATATTGTGTTGTTTTGTATAGAAATGCGTGTGAAGCAGATGACCACATGTAGATATTCAGCAATTAGTATTATAAAAACAATGACGAAAAACGTGTTTGTGTTCTTTATCGTGAACCAATGGCTACATCTTTTCTCCTCCGTCGCAATATTAGTCTTACCTTGGTTACAGGAATCGCCCTGCCAGCCAGCCAAACACTCTCCTGTACATCTTCCCAATTTCTTATCACAGTCTTGCTTAGAACAATGACACTGCTGATGACAATTTTGCCCAAAAGTCCCAGTGTCACATGCTGAACAAGGTAAAGTCATTATGTTAACACGAATCATTTAGATCGTGTAAATAGCACAAAATGGTGTACAACTCAGACTCATTTCATTTTCTATGTTATTTTCGTCCACGATAAATCACCCTAACCTGATGTGATACTAATTAAGCTATAATTCAAATCGACAATATAATCCTAATGAGATAAGTATAATATTTCAGTAATCTTATTTATAATCATGATAAAAATAATGATAATGGTTACCTTGACTACATGTTAAACCCTTCCATCCAGCTGAACACCCCTGAGGTCCACACGTCCCCGTTCGTTTGTTACAGTCAGCTGTGGCACAGTGACAGGTCTGGCTACAGCCTTGTCCGAATAAACCATGTTCACAGTCTACAATACAATGATACAAAAATACATACCATTGTGCTAGCTTTATCACGCGGAATTGTATCAACATGTCGTTACTGTTAGAGATCATCGGTTTGCATCGGTCAAGAAGTTATTATAATTGAATAAACAGGAACATTATAACATCCATCTCCATTTTGATAAGAGAACTAATTTATATACGGAGCAAATTCTACACCCGTAGCTATGTACGGAAGGAATGATTTATTTATCGTTACATGCTGATTTGAGATGCATTAGCTTTGTGACATATTTACAGAATTATATAAACAAATCAAAGATTTTTATCAGGCCGAAGGAGCTGATAAGTTCAGGGTCAATCTTGTGTCTCACAAGTTTTTCCTTCTCGTCTTGTTTTTCATTCCTTTGGCGACCATTCCTGTATTATTGCAGTCAGTTTTTTCAAACCTTTAATACATTTCCTTGTCTATTTTATGTCCTTTGTCTATTCTAGCGTTAACTCCATAATTGTGTTTAGTAATGACACAAAACACGTTTTCTGTACATGTTCCATCAAACAACAAACACAAGTAGTTATAAAGCTCGAAGCAATCATTTCGTTTGGTAAGTATAAATCTCTAGATTCGGACTAATATAGCCAGAAATGGGACTGTGGCTGATTGAAATGCACAATATTGCATACGCAATTTGAGGGACACTTTAAGTGAGAATATGAAAAAGGTATATATTATCATTTTTCCTCTCTAAAACAGATTAATCTTCACAGTTGTTCAACTTAATCTATAACATGCATGTATTTTGCATCAATTATGCTGCTACGACTACCTTCGTTACACGAATCACCCTTCAATCCAGCGGAACACCCTGAAATATCAATAATCAAATATTTGTTCGTTAGTATATGTATGCATCATCAAGTGATCTTATATATTTAATGATATTCTATAAAAATGTATTTAAAACTTCTTTGCATGTACATTTGAATGATCGCACAACCTCACACGATGTGTGGTGTGAGCGCGATGTATGCACGGTGTGTACGACGTGTGTACGATGTGCAAACGATGAAAGTCTGGACAATTACCGCTTTGGCACATTTGTGCGGACGAAGAGCATACGCTGTGCGATGACAATCATGGTTGGTGTAAATTGAGAAATGGCTTAACAATATAAACGGTTTCGTTTTTTAAAATATAAAGTTGATTTTTAAGTATATTTCTATATTCTAGGTACAGATTAGAGCTGATTTTTCTATCTGTATTTTCTTAAATTTAAAAATGAAGTTTAAAATTATTTTTTTTAAACGACACAAATCTACACATGTAAATAACACATGTAACATGGTCCCATATGCAGGTAACACAGACTTGACCTGGACTGTAGTTTTCCCCACCCCAGACTGTTACGTAACTCGCCAAGGTGTGCCAGCGAGGAGGGGAGCTTTAGACTAAAACGAATGCAAATAACAAATGCTACACGTCCAGTTTTATTTATAACAGTAATACGGTATGATATATAGACTCTCTATGTCAAGCACATGGATCCAGGTATAACTCAGCACAATGTTATTTACCTGCCCAGTTACCTGGGAGCCAAACCCATTATTGACAGTCTAACGGCCATAGTAATACTGTGTAGCACGCATTGTAAAATTGAACATAATCCTAATTGATATGATGAGTAATGTATATATACAGTGTTCATTATTCCCTATGAGGGTTCCGGATGTTTTTCATTCTGCAATATTCATCAACCAATTGTTCCAAATTGTACATTTGTGCGGAGGTATTGTATTGTCCCATGGCTGTACGACATATCAAAGGAACCTTCACATTTGACCGTCACATCCATGTAAATATTCCACCTTTTTTTTAAATATTTTGTTTTTTACACAATTATGACACACAAAAAAACGATTCTGTGTTGCTCAGTCCAACCTCAATTGAATAAGGGACCTGTTGAAATATTACTGTAAAGTCTTGGTGTAAGCTTTCAGTCATGCATGCACATTTACACATCACACAAAATTCCCTTCGTTGCGTTTACATGAAGAGTACAATCACCGTATATTAAACTATCGATAGAGGCGAAGTTTGAGCTTTCAGAAAGAGTACTTAACAGGTCAATTTTCCCCAGGAACGGGGAACTGTTATACAAAATATCAGTATCCTAGTAACATTCTGAAAGTTACCAGGGCCATTCACTTTATTACCGGCCTAGACCATTTATCGATCCGTTACGACCGCATTCTTTGCACATTCATGTGTTGTACATGATAATATTCATTTGTATATTGTCAAAATTCGGTAAAGGAAATTTAAAACAGTCACACACGTGGTAAAAACTGGGGTAGACCCTGCCAACTTTCGGCGAAAGTCTTTTACCAAATGCCTTATCTGACTAACTGTCAGCACATGTAACATTCTTGGTTGCCAAATTTAAGCAAAATTAAGATACTTAGGTTTGATAAAATGGTTAACATACTACATACCTCCGAGCACCTGGACCTCGCATAGCGATATAATTGCGGTCGTTTCAGAATAATACGTAACATTCCTTGGTTCATAATCAGCAGGACGCTTGTTGTAGAATGTGACGTAACGCCCATGAATAGAACATGGAAGTGACTGGATGTACGAAGGCAGACCCGGTCCGTGATCATGGTAGCACAAATAGTCCCGACTCAGCGACTGTGAGTTGGTGTAGGAACTGTTAGATACGTACAAATAAAACCCGGACATCCGGAAGGGGTCTAAAACAAAGTAAAAAGAAATTTAATATTGGTAAAAAGTCAATATTAGTACGCATTACGTCGACAAACAGGTTACTTATTGTTACAATAAAATATGTCCAATTCCCCGCAATACAAAGTAAGAGTTAATTATGTAAAGACATCGCAATTTATAGACGTCCGCATCATGTATACTTTGTTTATAACGTCTTTACGTTTGACGTCTTACAGTTGTAGGATCGTACAACGTGTAAACGTTGTGCGCTGTGCACGCGATGTGCACATGATGTGTGGACGATGTTGGAACGATGAAAATCTTGACGATTATTGATTGCGCACATTTGTGCGGACGATGGACATACGTTATGCGATGACAATCGTTGTAAATTGAGAAATGGCTTTACAATTTATACGGTTTCGTGTTTAAATATATATATATATATATATATATATATAAGCTGATCTTTCTATCTATATTCCTTAAATTAGGAAATGGTGTTTCTGTGTTTTTTAAACGACCCAAATTGATACATGTAAAATTATATCACATATAGACACGGTCCAATATACCGGTAAACATAGCCCCTTTGTACATGTACCTAGACCGTATTCTTCCCCACCTGGGGTACTTACGTAACTGGTCAAGGTGTGAAAATGCAGATGAAGGGGAGCTTTAGACCAAACCGAATGCAAATTACAAATAGTTAACGTCCAGTTGTGTTTTCATAACAGTCAAGATATCATATATCGGCTCTATATGTCAAGCACACGGCGGTCAGTTAAAACTCCAGTCAACAAAATGTTATTTACCTATTCTGTTACCCGGGAGCCAAAACCTTTCTTGACAGTCTAGTATTGTTTTACACGCATTGTAAGATTGAACATAATCTTAATCGATATGATGAGAAATTTTATAAACAGTGATCCTTATTCCCTTTAAGGGTTCCAGATTTTATTCATTCAGTAATATTGATCGGCCAATTTGACCCAATCACATATGTGTGCTGAGTGAAGCGCACAATGTAAAGAACGTTGATAAATCGCTAAGTTTTGCGCACCATGTGTGGACTATATGTGGATGGTGTGTACATGTAGTATGCACGATTTGAGCACGTTATTGTCGTTGCGTTGTGCGGTCACACAACTGTAAGTGCATTTTGTATGTGAACTCTATTTATGACGTCACAAATAAATTCAAATCGCATGAAGAGCTCCAAGATGGACTAGCGAAATTTAGTCTTCAGTGTTTTGTTTTATATATATATATTACCGTCACACAGACGTTAAAATTGTTTACCGCTATACCTACTGTAGATACATCTATATAGTTAATAAAAGTTATTTTATGTTATAAAAAAAATGCATCAATCTTGTAAAGCTGCGTCTATCAGCAATAAATCAGTTCTACCACATTTCTAACCCACAACCCCCAATTTGTTGGCATATCAAAGTACTTCGGTTTGTATTATATTAAAGTTTTCATTAATTATCTCGCGTTATACATAATTAAAGAATTTATAAGTAAATGCTTAGCTGATTCATGATCTCTTTTGTTTTAATTTTTGTTTTTATTATTGTTATTTCTCCACAATAGTCAAGGTCATATGTAAGCGGGCAAAAGTGTTGCTATGGGGGGAGGGGGCAGGGCGGACGGAACATACCAACTCTGGCTTCCTCAATGACCCCGAGACAGAGATAACAGAAGAAAAAACACTGATTCTGAAAGTATTGCACATTAGTCGCCTCTTACGACATGCAGTGAGACAGATCAGGGTTTTTTCTTTCCAAGAGACTGACTGGGTCATATGTATTGTTTTAGTTTTCTCGCGTAAATAGCTATAAGTGTGTAAGATATTTTTTAAGGTTGAGAAATATTCATGAAATTTTGTAAAGTGACACGCTATGGTTTGACCCCGTTATCTGTATATACCTTTCTAAACTTAAATATTAAACAGACTTTAAATCTGTATAACATAACCGTACTTCATTTTTACGAAACACAATAGACAGGGGTTACCAATTAATACTAGGGTTTTGAACCATTTCCCGTACTAATTATTTAACATACATGGTAAGCGCAACGACGGTATGAGTAGGTGGAGTGCTGTGCTGGGTGCAAAATGTAACGCTCTCAATTTGGCACCAGGTCCTTGCAATCAAAAGAAAGCAAATCAAACAACCAAACGCCTAAAACACGCGCGTGCATACCAAACATGGGAGCATGGCCTTAAATAGCATATAGAAGATAATCTCTAACTACTAACTAAATTGATATTCAATTTTGTTATTGTAATCTTTCTTCCAACACTTATCGTATTTAAATTTATTTTATACATATTAAATAGTATATTAATATATCGCACTTGCATGGTAATGAAGGGAATGGGCAGGTTCTAAGGGTTGCAATCATATTTCAGTTGAAAGATATTTGAATAGACCGAGGTTTATGGGAAGGATGTTGTTACATGTAATGAATCAGAGGACTCTTACAATGTCGGAGAATTTCACTCGAAATAATGTTAATTCATTGATTCAGACGTACCAAACACTGTCTAATTTTTGTAGTACATTTTTCTTGAGATTTTTCAGAGGTCAACATATAAATGTAATGGTTCATAGTTTTCACTAGATTTATAAATATCGTATCTTTTTGTCACTTGTTATTTTGCTGCAGATATTTGAATGATTCCTTTCCAACGCCTTAATCTCGTATGAATTTCTTTGAAAGACACGCTCTGGCTTTACATGCAAGACCGCTCACATCTTTCCAGGTTTTGTTAACAACATATGTTTCTTTGAAAGTGAATTTCCCGAATTTTGTCCTTGACTGTTTGTGAATGTAAACATTACAGTAGTTAACTGCTTGTCAGTATAATGTCACCGGGTTGAGTGTCAATAAGGTCATATAATTATATAAGGTCATGTATAAATAAGGATTACAAATGGTAACGTTGACAGATGTCAGAGAGTTCGCTTTGGCAGATTTTATCACTGCATATATAGTGTTTGACTAATATATCAGAACGGAACAACTTATTCTCCGAGTGATTCAAACCTAGCTTGTGGTCAACTGGGTCCATTATCATTAAAGGAGAAACACAACACAATCGAGGACCAGTAAAATCTCCATGTGGATTATACAGAAAGGGGATAATGCGAAACCAATGTCTTTTTCTGTTAAGGTGGATGAGATATGTGTTACCACAGGAAATATGTCGGAATATATAATATTTTGGTCAATTCTGACAATAACGATTCCTGGATATGCACAAACTGCGTTTTTAAAGGTTTTCATTCATCTTAACTCGAAACATTATCACCAGTAGTTTCCGTAGGAAATAAGAGTGACATCATCTAACCAGAAAATAAACAATCAGAACTGCCCGACCCTTCACAAGAACATGGTCCAACACAACCCAGCTTGCTTATCCTCATCACTTGCAGTATTTTGACAGAAAGGGGTTTCATTTCATTCACATGATTGCCCAATCTCTCCTACCGAAATAGCATGAACTCAGACTCATTGCAACGAAATCAGACGCCCCTTTAATTTCAATAATTGAAACTTGGTTAGACGAATCCAATACTCAGAAATTGATAAAGACAGATCTAGGAATGGTGGAAAAGTATGCACCTACATTCATGAATATCTAGTACACACTCCTCGACTTGATATTTAAACCACAATACACAAATTCTAATAATATAACTTGTATTAACCAAAAGGACACCTGTATATATTGGAGCATGTTACAGGTCTCCTTATCAAAATGATTTCCTTCAAAATGTCGAAAATGAACTTTCATTGCTAAGATCTGCCTGTGAAATTAAAATGCTAGGTGTTTTTGATATATGTTGGACCCAAAAAGCAAGTCTACTGCTTAAATCACACCGCATCATCTTGAATATGTTTGGACTGGATCGGGTTATTTCCGAAGCCACTAGAATTGCAAATCATACATGAACACTTTTACAGACAAAATTTGTCAATCTGGCACTATTTCGATCGTTTTAAGCGACCACACCCTTACCTACATTACAAGATAGTGGTTAGTGGTACTTTTAAAAATCATAATACAGAAAGTGCAGATCACTCAAAAATTATAACAAAAGGGTATTTAAAGAAACTATTTTAAACTCTGACTTGGAAAGCTGTTTTTATGTTGAGGATCGAGATGAATCCTGGTCTCAATTTCATATTTTTTCATTAAAGTTATAGATGGTATTGCTCCAGTAAAAGAAATAAGGCTCAAGCAGAACCTGGATGAATTCGGACATTTTAGACAATATCCCCAGGAGAGACAAATACTTGCTCTAGTTTCAAAAAAAGACAATTTGGAATCGGACTACACAAAAAATCCGTTTGTACCACGACAAATCAAAAATTGCGAAATCTGATTTTTCTGTGACAAGATAGAAATAAAAAATAAAAAAAAGACTACGGAAACGTTTAAAGGATTTGTTATATGAAAAGGAGAACAAGAGCAACTCAAATACTGTTTTAAATATTGAGGCAACATGTAATATTAACCCAAATAAGAGCACTGGGCTGGAAAGAATACCTGCCAGATTTTTGAAAGATGGGGCAGACATTTTGAAAGTACCTATAACATACCTGATAGATACATCTATTATTACTAGAACTGTCCCAAATTAATGATTTATTTAAGCCAATGTTCAAGAAAAGGGATATTCTTAAAGCAACAATGATAGACCTTTAAGCAATTTGAACACAGTATCCAAATTCTTAGAAAAAAACAATTATGAAGAGCTGAAAATGTTGTTGTCTCCATAACTTGTTATATGAAGTACTGTCTGGATTTAGAAGCTAATCTTCTTTCTTTACAGATGCCTGTTTAGTTGATTTTATTTCACCACATTCAAAAACAAAAAGCAAAAGGACTCCTTACTGGAATTAATATGTTTGAGTTACAGAAAGCTTTCGACACCGTGGACCATCAAATTATGTGTGAAAAACCTTAAATATTTGGGGTTGAATTTATCAAATGTTTTCAATCTAT